CTAGGTTTCAATGGTAAAATATCTTGTAAATGTTTGTCTGCCTTCAGTATCGGCCAGTGTTTCTTAAATATATTTTTCAACTGCTCTATGTTGTAGTCGAATATTATAGGAACATTGTATAATCGGCACTTCCCGTGTGTCTTCTTATCCTCTAGCAAGGTGTGGATGTTCAATTTTCGCAATTTTCACAATGTTATCCTCTACAAATTCTTTGTTATATCTTCTCTGCATAAATCTCTGACCTATGTATTGGGCTTGTTCTTCAAACTTCTAATTCCATGCAATTTCTTCAGAGGCATACCAATTGTCCTTTAGGTATATTTATCAGCCAGGGTTGATGATGTCAACTATTCGTGGGTATGTAACTATTCCGATTGACTTTTTAAAAATTATTCTTTGTTGATAGTGCCCCATTTTGTTCATATCTCCAAATCCAGAAACTGGATAGTTTTATTATGCCATTGGATTGTCAGGTGAATATTTATATATATTCATATTGAGACGGTAAAAAAAAAATGTGCCAAGCTAGGTTCATCCTCTGCCCAAATAATCATCAAATCGTCGATAAATCTCCTGTACAATAAAAGTTGTTCTGGTGGGTTATCGAAAATCATCATTTCTTCCCACTGCGCCATGAAATTATTGGCCACACTGGGTGCTAACCCAAATTTGACAGGTACCTGCTCCCACTTCCGCAGAGTTGTCCTACCTCCCTCCCAGTAGTCTTGTGGGACACGTGACAGGTCCCAGAAGACTAAGGGGCCATTCACAAAGTGCAGCCCTTCTCGAGCATGCACAGTGGGCATCCGACCGTGAAGCTGCAAGCTGTCACAGCCGTGTGCCCACACTGAAGATGCCAGCGCGAGGGAGAGAAAGATGGCCGGTGAAAGCAGGACACCGCTGGACCGAGGAACAGGTCGGATTGAGGAGCGGGTTCTTCTGCACAGTAGAGCCGAGCGGCTGGCACGGTATTCTAACATGGCTGTGGAGGCAATACCGGGCCGGCCGCTCCATAAGACACACAGACATTTTCCAACATTTTTTTTGGGGAAAAAAGTGCATCTTACAGAGCGAAAAATACGGTATTTTTGTCCAATTGTATCAAATGTTTTGTATCGTTCAAACACGATTTGGTGCCTTGGACCAATGGTTGCAAAAACACATCAATATATTCGCCTAAACGAGCATTTACTGACTGAGTTCCATTTACTATCGGTCTTCCAGGGGGATTCTCTAAATGTTTATGTATTTTTGGAAACAAATAGATAATCGGTACTCTATAGGTATCGGGTACTAAGAACCTCCCTTCTTTTGTGTTCAAAATATATGTCACGTACCTGATGGGAGACTGAATTGACGAGGTCGGCCTCCCTTGTGTCACTAGCCCTGACCCCACTGAGGTTGGAACAGAGGGAGTCTAGGGACCAGGGGGACAAGAGAGCCAGTGGTTGTTGCTTGCGGCTCTTGCAGATGATGACCTTGGTAGGCAGAGTATCCTCTGATTTGGGCACTGTAGAATAGACCAGGAAGGTTCAGTGGATTGCCAGATGTGCAGCAGAGCAAGGTAGGTAGCAAGGACAAATGTCTGGAGCAGAGTCATAGGATAGCTGGGGTCATAAACAGTCGGGCAGCGCGGTACAGAATCAGAAGGAGAAGCCAAAGTCAGGAGCAGAGCCGAAGTTAGGAACCAGGAGCAGGAGAGCAATCGGAGTCGGGTCAGGAACAAGCCGGGTCAGCAACAAAGGAATTGTACAGGAGCAAGCAGGACACGGGGGAGCTGAAGACCAGTCAGCACTGAATCTGAGCAGAGGCACTCCTTAAATGGCCCGTCTGGCGCCAATCTTCGCCATGCGTGTTAAACACCTCAATATGATCATTGTTATGCACAACAGGGTTGAACAGAGATTTATTTTTAAGAGTACTATGTGTGATAATATTATTCTCCCCAGTTTGTTTCAAAGCGGATTCCTCAGGTTTATTCAATATATATTTCTTGATATTCAGCTTTCTGATATACTTCTGTATATCAATATATGTATCGAATTTATTCAATGTTTTTTTAGGAGCAAATTTTAGGCCTCTATACAATACCTTTAGTTCATCATTTGTTAATTCCACTCCACTGATATTAGACACCTTCCCCTAATACTCTCTTTTTCTTTTGGGTCTTCCATCCCCCTCTGCATCCTCTCCTCTTCTTGGGCTCCCTCCTCGTCCCCCATTCTCTCTCCGGTGTTCCTGGGGATCTCTTGTATCTCCAGTGGTATAGAAAAGGTCTCAGCGTTTTATTACCATAATCTTCTCTCAGTGGGTCACATCTGTTCATGGTTGGCAAGGGACTTCTATCTCTATATCCATGATTATAATATTTCTGTTTAAACATAGGTCTATTTCCATTCCAATTATTGCCCCTCCAATTGTTCCTCCAGGAGATTTTTCCATCCTCTCTGGTCATTTCTATATTGTCCCTTATAGGGTGTTCTGAACGGTTGGATCAAATCTTGGTGCTGGGGGTTGCCGTTTGGGATAAGCCCCAGCTTGTTTTTGAGGATTTTCACTTCTTTTTCAGATGTAGCCTCCACTTCCACTAATGGGGGATCCCCTCTTCTAGTTTACTCTGCCATTTTTATACTTGTTCATTTTTACAATCATTTGTCTCTCTTAAATATTTACTTCTTTTCCTCTTTTTCACTTCTTGATCCTTTTTGTCTGCTACTTTCCCTAATTGTGTTGTGTTTTAAAGCCAGGTAGTTCTTTAAGGGGGTTCAAACTTCTCTCTGCACTCCATAATTTGCTGTTCAATTAACCTCATCTTTCTTTGTTTCCTTTTAATAAGGAATCCAAGTAATTCCATACCTTTTTCATTAAAAAAGTTATACCATTCATCTATGGACTCCCTATCTATTAATCCATCATTGATGGGTACATCCCATTTTAATCTTCTTGGAATTATCCCCTCTTTAACCCCTTGACGCCGACATAACACAAATATGTGGCCTCACAGAACTGGGCTTTTTTCCGTGGGGCCGCATATTTGCATACCTGTCTTTGTGCGGCGCGCTCCCAGCACAAAGACCGCGGTGTCACTGAGAGCCCTGGGTCCCGTTCTAACGATTGGGACCCGAGACTTCCGATTCCGGGTCACATGATCACTGTGATAGCCTCTGACTGGCTATGACAGTGATCAGTCACTGTACAGCCCGGCCCCCTTGTTTTTTTTCTCTCTCTATGAATGGGGAAGATAGATACATTGTATCTTTCTAACTCCTGGCATAGAGAGAAAAAAAAATGTTTGTAAAAAAAAAATAAAGAAAGGAAAAATAAATATTAAAAAATAAAAGAAAAAATACCTAGATCAAGGTTTGATCTGGTTCAGTGCTAGGGTTAGTGTTTGGGCCAAGGTCAAAAGGTCAGGGTTTAAAAAAAAATTGGTGTCAGTGTGTTTTAGGTAAACAAAAAAAAACAAACAAAAAAAAGGAACAAAATGTACACTATTGTTTCTGGGCGGTACTACGGGTACAAACAACAAATAACATACACATATATGGTATTGCTGCGATCGTCAAGAGCTGGAGAATTTATTTTGGGTTGTTCTTTGGTGTTAGGTTATGGTAGCAACAAGAAACACAAACCTAAATAAAAAAAATGATTTATTTTTACCATTTTGGGCCAGTTTTCCTTTGAGAATAAAAAAAATCAGGAGATATCCATTACTATTCACCACCAAATGAAAGCCCAATTTGTCCTCAAAAAAACGCAGTATAATTCACGTGGATGTACATAGTTGTGATGATATGTACGGTTTTACTATCACGTCAACGTTGTAAAGTTGTGCTTAGGCATTTAGATGTTTTACCCTTAGGCGTGAAGAGGTGAAGTCACCGGTCACACCGCTGCGATTTAAAATGGCGTGATTTTGTGCAATTTCTGAAGACTTCATTGCGTTTTGTGAAGATTTTCAACTATTATATTCTAGGTACGTAAAATTGCCATAAATGGCAGAAAAAGTGATGAAAGAGCTACTTTAGAAATCGCGTCGCAGCAAATCGCACGTTAACACGCTGACTTCACTAGATACGGTTTCACTTCGCAAATCACACCGGTATGACCAGGCACTTAGGCTCCATTCACATCAAATACGATTTTGAAATCGTTCGACTTACAGTGAAGTTGCACAATTTCAAAATCGGGTGAGATGCCGACTTCCTTGCGATTTGCAAGACATCTGCTACAGATCTATGCAAAGCGCAACAAAAGTAGTTCATGCACTACTTTAGAATACGGTGCGGCTACAACCAAGTGGGAACCGCACCAATATTACTGCGCTGATAGCGGACAATAGGGTGTGACTTGGCATGTGATTTGCAAGTCGCAGGGCATGCAAATCGCATCCAGTGTGAACAAGTTTTGGAAGAAAATGATCCGGCTCCGCAATGACAAAATGTTCCAGCAAATAAATTTGCTACGAACCTTGGAGCCGTGTGTGCCTGCTTTATCTGATCTCCTTACCATGATATTATTTCATTTCAGCACGGTCACCTCATAACACAGCACACCGCCTGTCAACTCATAACACAGCACACCGCCTGTCACCTCATAACACAGCACACCGCCTGCCACCTCACACCTCAGGGCGGGAAATGATGAGATCATGTAGAAGGAACTCTCTTTGTGTATTCTATAGGCCTTCAGCGCCACCTAGCATCAGTTGCCTGAGATGACAGCCTGGGCCTCAGCCACCGGAAGACGAAGGCCGCAAGACAGAAACTAAGCAGTGACACAGCTAGTCGTCATCGGCGGGAGCGCGCACGCAAGCACGCACGGGAAGGGAAGTGGGAGACTTGGCGAGGAGACGTTTGGCTGCGGGCGGGTGCTTTCTCCCGGCTGTTTTCATCTTCGAGTCCAGTCTGGTCGGCTCGCGGGCGCGCGCTGAGGGGTAGAAGGTTGCTGGGGAGCGCGCAGTGTTGGAGCTGCGCAGAGCCGGAGCGGCAGAGGGAAGAATGGAGGAAGATATCCTGACCACCCTGAAGATCCTCATCATTGGGGAGAGCGGGGTGGGCAAGTCTAGGTAAGGAGAGCCGCCATGGACAGTGACTGGGCTCACATCACAGGCTGCTCTCAGTGTCATGTCTGGTCACACAGGAGCTGGGGCCTTGGCCTGCTAGGGGTTGTAGTACCTCTAGAGGTGCATTGTGTGTAATGACTATAGGTTTCATAGATTGATATTGATTATCCACAGGTTAGGGTGGGCATAGTATGGCCGATATTTCCTCGTATACAGCCGGTGAAGGACCCTGTGGGCCTGTCCTCAATATTGGGGACGCCACATGTGGCCTACCAATGGCGTGATGGCGGTTACGGCTTGTTAGTGCCCAGCCATTGTCACTTCTAATGGTGGCACATTCATGAAAGCAATTCCACACTTTTCGGATGTGATGGCCGGACGAGGAAATCTGTGCACTAATTCAGGGGTAGTCAGCCAGCGGAACTAAACCCTCCTGTCCTCTACAGCCAAAGAAGCTGCCATCTTGGCCTGTCTGATCTACAGTTGCCATTGCTGCACATGTGATCAGTTATGACATCAGCCATTTGATGGTATGACAGTTAAGCTGACAGCACAAGCAAATGTGACATCTAGCATCCAGGGCATCACGCATCCTCTGGAACTCCCTACCCCAATCCATCAGACTATCACTTACTCTCCTCTCCTTTAGGCGCACCCTGAAAACCCATCTCTTCAGGGAAGCCTACCCCACCCCCTGCTAATTGCCGATCTCAACTCTTCCTACCACCCCATCCCCCACAGCTTTTCGTCCCGTACCACTATCCCCTCCCTCCTAGATTGTAAGCTCCAAGGAGCAGGGCCCTCGAACCCCTCGTGTATTGCATTGTATTGTTATTGTACTGTCTCATGTATTGTCTCCCATGTATTGAGCGAACTATTGGTGCTATATAAATAACTGTATAATAATAATAATGTAACTGTTTCGGAAAGCAGTTGAACTGTTGGGTTTAGTTCTGTTTTAACCACTTGCCCGCTGCCGTATAGCAGAAGTACTTCTGCAGGGCTGCGCAAAATCACGTGTGTATATATACACGTGATTGTATTTCTGGGTAGGGGCGTGCGCACCGCCCTATCCATGCCACCATTGGCGGCTAGGGATGTCAATCACCAGGTCCCAGCCGGTGATTCCCTGCCGGCACCCGGGGATCATCGGGGTATGCGGACAAGGGACAGACCTGTGTGTAAACAACACAGGTCTCTCTCCTGTCAGCATGGACATGCTGCTTTGTATCTCTCTTCAAAGTAAAACGCACACAGTAAAACACACACAGCGCAGTTAACCCTTTGATTGCCCCAGATGTTAACCCCTTCCTGCCCAGTGTCACTAGTACAGTGTCAGTGCTTTTTATTAGCACTAATCACTGTATTGGTGTCACTGGGGATGTTGGTGTTAGTCAGTTCCCTCCCAGTGTCAGAATTGCTGCCTTAGTCCCGCTATAAGTATCTGATCGCCGCTATTACTAGTATAAGAAAAACAAAACAATTCCAGTATATATACCACCATTTGTAGACACTATAACTTTCACGTAAACCATTTAAGTTATACGTATTGGGATTTTTTTTTTTTTTTTTTAGAAGAATACATTTTTGCCTAAATTTATGGCGAAATGTGATTTTTTTTAAAAAAAATGTATTGACTGTTTTATAGCACAAAGTCAAAAATATTGTTTTTTTTTATTTTAAAAAGTCTTTTATTGTTTATAGTGCAAAAAATAAAAACGCAGAGGTGATCAAATACCACTGAAAGCTCTATTTGTAGGGAAAAAAATGACATAAATTTCATTTATGTACAGCGTTGCATGACTGTGCAATTGTCAATTCAAATAATGCAGCGCTGTATCACAAAAAATGGCTTGGTCAGGAAGGGGGGTAAATCCTCTGGAGGGCAAGTGGTTAAAGTGGAACCGCCGTCTGCTCTGGAAAGCTCTCCCCCTTCCTCCGGTGCCACCATTCTTGTGTATGGACAGATGTGCCCACAGGGCTCTGTCCAGCACGTGCAATGACCGGGAAGGTTTTGGACTTCCCTGTTGCCAGTCCCTGATCGTGTGGGGAACCTTGTTTATGCGCTGATGACCAAGAAATGTGGCACATGCAAAAATGTGCTTCAGTATTCAAGCCCTACGGCACATCTAGGGGGGCGACAGGGGGGATGGTTGTGTCAGCATTGAGAATGTCTAATCTAGGCTGAGAAAGGTAGAAGTGCTGTTTTGTAGAATGAATAAAGTGTACTGAAAAAAAAAATGTCCATTGGTAAAAGAGGGAGGGGAGAGGAGGCAGGGCAACCCAAGATGTCATTAATCTGTTGGCGCCGACTATACGCAAATATGCGGACTGTCGGCAGCTGGGCCTAGACGCCGAGAGGTAGCAGATTTGCGTACCCACAAAAAAACCACACGTCTCAAGCGCGCTCCTGACACATTTACTGGCGCCTCAAGGCTTGCTACTTGTGATCATGACCTTTCTGATCATGTGACCATTGTGACAGCCAATCATGGCGATCACATGACCCTAAACTAGGGCTCGACAAATTCCAGGCTCTAAGTCAACATGGCAACCAGAAATTGCGACCTGGCGCCTGGGCACCTGTCAGCCCACTCACACCAGCAGCTCCCACTGTGCCCGCTTTGTGCCCTGGACATGCTGCTCCAGGCACGAGGCAACCAATCCTTCTCTCTCCCCTTGCTGGTCTCCATAGTTTTCCTGGAAGCAGGCAGTTGGCTGGGTTGGAGGTGTGAGTGACAGTCAGGGTGGCCAGGCATCTCTCCTCAGGCGGTTGCTATCCCCTCCTCCAATGCTAGAGCAGGGTCTGAGGATGAGCCAGCTTTGTTGGCTTTTCTGCTGCCTGCCGTGCCTAAGGCACATCACCGCCAAGCTGGCCTTGCTCCCCCCAAAGCTCACCTGGTGAAGGGGTAGGCAGGGGGGGTGAGGTGGGGACCTGGCAGCCTGTGTGCCGCCCCGTGTGACCTCCACTTGATGGAGTGGGAAGACTGGCAGTACCCCCTGCAGGAGCTTGATGCGGTGGAGGTGTTCTGGTGAAGGATGGAGTTGCCTGGGCTGTATGTTCGCCTGCTATGCCCGTGTGTGTAGGACAAGTGTGTATACAGAGGAAGGGGGGTAGGGTGCATATACAAAATGTGTGTTGGGGGGACCAGATCCAGTGTGTATACATTGGAGGCGGTGGGGCAGCGCTTGACAAATCCCAGGTCGCCATGCGGCTTACCCACAGCAGAGCCAAAGTTTCTCTCGTCCTCTCCACACACGGGCAGCCTCCAGCCCGCCCCCCCAGCAGACCCACCGTTGCCGTGCAGAAAGACTCCCCTCTCCCTTGACACCAGCCAATCCGTGCATAGGACCACCCCTCCTCCTCGCCGCCAGCCCCCACATGTGGTGCTGGAGGTGAGCAGAGTCCAGCCCACACAACATGCCACACACACATCAGCCCCCAAAAACCTCGGCTCCAGTCCCCTCCATGCACAAATTCAAGATCTGTCATCTCTATCATCGGAAAAAAAAAAACTAGTAAAAACAAAACTGGCTGCTAACTTTTTTAGCTGGCTCCTAGATTCAAAAAAATTTTGTCAAGCCCTGCCCTAAACCCTGCCCCCTCTCCTGGCGTCACAAACCCCTTAAGGGGCTGGGTGGTGCCGGGGCCAAGGGGTTAAAGGTGAAGGTCTGCTTTATAAGCACCACTATACGTTCTGCAGCCATGACTACACCAGGTTCATAAAGATTTTCGTTTGGATGTCACGGAAATTCTGAAAAATGGTTTAACAGAACATTCATTCTTGCCAGTAGATATGAGCTTGAGCGTGTTCGAATACTAGTCCGAGCCCAACAGAAAGTCGTCATCACCTGTACAGGCCAGTCATCTCAGGCCAAGGCATTCCCCATGCTGCTGCTGCACATATACCAGGGGTGTATATAGTATATGTTGAGGTACGGCTGCGGGCGGGGAATGCCTCCGGTGGTTATGATTGGCCTGTACAGTGACTGCTTCCTGATGATGCGCGATGCTCTGGGCGCTTCATTCAGTCACAGGATTCTGTGAATGCGAAAATTAGAAATACTGACAGCCTTTGTGGATGTCAGCTTGTGGTTCTTAATGAACTACTAGGGTGCTGTTGAGCACTCTAGGTGTTTCATTGATGCTTTCTGTCCGTGTGCAACTGCTCATAGTAAAGAAAAAAAAAAGCGCAAATCCGCAGAAAGATGTGCATTTATTTATTTTTTTTTCTCTACCAATGTGATCTTATCCTTTAATTGTATTGCATATTTAGAGGTATAACTATATATACATATTAGTCAACCTATGACTCCAATTTTGCATACACTATATGGAAAACTTTGTATTTGTTCTTTCATACAGTCCTATATAAATCGTTTAAAAGAAAAAAACGTTTGTGGCCACAAAAGTTCTGATTTCAGCATAAAATTTTTCTTGCACATGCGCATTACAAGAAGTATATATATTTTTCCAGAATGAGGACCACATTAACAGAATTTTTGTTCAAATAAGAAAAATGTTCCATTCGATCTTTCCCTTTACTACTATTGCCGATTTGTCCTCATTGACCAACAGAAAATGGACCAAATGTTTCCAAATGTTTTAAAAATACCCCACCCCACCCCACCCCACCCCCCCCGGCCATCCAGCTACATAGCTGGTAAGGAGATGGATGCTTCTCAACAGCTGTTTGTCTTGACATCAAGTACTTTTCTGAGATAGGCGGTGGCAAGAGGAGGGTGACAGGTGGCAGGTCAACCGCCCATCCCTCTGACCCCCACTTGTCTTGGGGAAAGTGCTCGGAGCAAGGACAAGCTGCTATCTCCTTCCTAGCTATGTTGTAAGACAGCCGCGGGGGTGCCCACTCTGACCTCGTATGTAAGCTTAGGAAGTGCCTAGCAACATGGGACAGTTGAACGGTGACTGTCAGTCACGGCTGTCTGCTCTGCCCCACCCCACCCCCACGCTCACTGGAGCGCTGGGTTGTGAACTTCTCCTT